CGAGAGCGTTTTCAAAACGCTGCGTTTTTCCTTGGGGAAAACGTCAGTGTGGACGGGGGGCCAAAACGGAAAGAAAATGATGGGTTTTCAAACAAAAACGCATTAGTGTGGACGTAGCCTAAGTGACTTCTTCAGTCTCCGCTGACTGCAGGTTCCCCCACACTTATAGGGCTTTGGAGTTGATGTCACGCCACAGTGCATTGTGGGATCGGGGCGCCATGCCAGAAGGCCACAAATCAAAACAAACACACTGTGTTGGAAGCAGGACTGTCAGAACCATGCTTAAAATCAGCACAAAAGACAAAGGGCTGTATCGCGACCGATTACACCAAGAGACGGTACTTGGAAAAAATAGCGTGCATCCGTAATGTGGACCCGTATGAAATAAGGCAGTGGAGTGGAAACCCAGACAGCCTACCGCCGTTGTCCTATTCTGATATTTTCGTGTACCTTGTCCGTGGAGTCAGCGCATAGCCGCATACACGGCGAATAAATAAATTATAAATTCCTGCACATAACATTGACTTCTCCTCAGCAGCTGCCCCCCAAATTGCTCTAGATGAACGATTCACGATTGATGCCAGCTGTGCGTTGCCATGTAAATAGTTTGCATTTCACGTGTACCTGCACATGTACTTGCTAAGTACATGTGAACAGGTCTTGAATAAAAAATAAATAAAATAAACATACTTTTCATTTCTGTTTTATTGAAACCACTTTACAGAAAGTACAATTATTTACAATGAACTGTACATGCAACACAGCAGTTTCATGAATATTCAACAAGAGCAAGTTTCATTTGGCCCTGGTTTGACAACCACACTGGGGCACATATTCACCAAAACACAGCACACCTTAACATTCCTATCAAGCAGTGTCGTGTCTTCACCCTCACATAATATGAGTAACTCCTGTCCACAGCCTCCGTGACATGGTGATTTTGTTGTTGGTCTTCTGTCAGATCTTCATCTATTACTTCTGCACTGGGCACACCTTCATACTCTGCAGCTGCATAATGAAAGCATGTAAAATAAAATTAATGCATACACATAAGGTAAATGTACACCAGTATTCCAGGTGCGTGATTCATCTGAAGGTTATGTGCAGATTAGCGTACAATGA